ACGCACGCCCCCACATGCCTCCGCGACATGATTTCGGACTGCCTGATTGGTACGGAGTGTTTTTGATTGGTGTGGATATTTGGCTAACATTTCGAGTACGGCTACTTTTTACGGTGGTATTCATATTTGTTATGGCGGTTTTATTTTTGGATGTTGGTGAAGCTAATCTTGTAAAGATGTTGTTTAGTGCGTTAACCCTGGATGTTCTTGAGGGTTTGCTGGTTGATGATTTATTGTCATCTTGTGGTGATTGGTTTTTTGTTTGTTTGTTTGTTTCGTCATTAGATATTTCCTCGTTATCTAGTGTGTTAGTTGAATTGTTAGATTCGTTGTCAGAAATAGTTTCTTTGTAATCATCATCTTGATCATTAAAGTCGACCCTATCTTTTTTGATTAATTGATTGATTATGGTAATGTTGTTATCAATTTCTTTATCAGTGGAGACCCCTAGTATATCTTCATTGATTAGTTGATTGATTTTGTTGTTAGGATGATTTTTTGATTTTGTTGCAGACTTAATCTTAATACGATAGTATGGTGATTGGAGTAGCTTTGATTTGATTGAGTTGTTTTTTCTTTCGATGAGGTGGAAAAAGGAGGTATTGTTTTTGTTGACTTTGATGTGAGAAAAGAAGAAGTCAATTTTTAGGTTAAGTTGTTCTTTTAACACTTTTTCAATGTCTTGATTGGATGAGTTGATGTTTCCAATTACCATATGGTAATCGTCACAGTGCGTGATGAACTTGTTCATCTTGTTGGTGGTATCTCTTTCATTAAGGAGATTATGTAGGTTTTCTTTTGAGAGAGAGATAAAGATAGTTTTCTTTTTCTTTTTGTCGAATGAGATCTTTTCTATATCTGTGTATTTGCTGAAATGAATTATATGTTCATCGGATATTTGGTGGTTTGGGTAATATAATCTGAGATTGATGTTGTTTCCATTTTTTTCATAAGTGGATAGTTTGTTATCTCGTTCAATGATATCTTTAACACTTTTTTGAATTATAGAGATGCTTGACAAGAGTATGTCTTCAATAGTATTGAAATTCTTATGGGGAAAATCCTTATTTTTCATTTCTTTCCAATCGTTGGATAAATCTAATATGATTGGTTTTATGTTTGAAGATGGTGGTAGGAATGATGTTTGTAGTTGGATTGGCTTTTAGAAAGACAAATTGGTGAAGATTGGAGATAGTGAAGATAGAAGATTAAAAATCTTTAATACGATCTAAATTCTTTTGATCTGTGTTTTGTGGTGTATAATTAATATACATTGAAATAGCTTTTAAAAAGCTGTTGGACAGTGCTAAAATTATTTGATAAAACTTAATTTATAAAAAGTAAGAATTTATATGATGTTAACACTTGTCGGTTTTATTTCAAATTCTTCAACAATCTAACAAGATACATACAAAGCGAAATACCCTATCAAAAGCAACGATTAAATATTCAAATCTTCCAGAAGATATATGTACTTCAAAAAGAAAAATATTCAGAGCGGGAATCGAACCCACGACCTAATCCGTGTTAAGGATTCGTGATAACCAACTACACCATCCGAACATTGTTATTGAAACTTGTAATGAAGCTCTATACAGCTTACAAATAATTAAGTATATATATATGTAAAATAAGTATAACAAATAAATAACAAATAACAAATATTATATGTGTAATGAAATTGTAGTTTATTTAATAATATAGAATAAAAAACCTCTGAAGTTTTAGACTGAGAACTTAAGGTATTTATACTGAATGAGATTGGTTCCAGAAGCTAATTCTTAAGTTATTTGGAAACACTGGAATTGGTAGTTACTAAGCAGTAGTTAGTAAACAGCAGTTAGTGACTCTTAATTAGCCTAGGGTCATAGCGTTAATATAGCGATATCATAACAGTATATATATGGTCGGACGGGGGGGCAGTTATACTACAAACTTAAGAATATAGACCCCATAAGGTTTGAAATAAAACTCTAATTAAAACAAAAACCAGTGGAACGAAATGCACCACACTGCTACCCAAAGTATATTAGCACAAAAAATCAAACAAGAATTACCGTTTGCCCTAGCCAGAAAGCTTATACCAGTAAAGGGGAGAGATCTACTCTGGAGATACTTGCTGAAAGCATTGCCCAAAAATTTTCGAATCACAATGCCCGTTATGTCCAGACAAGAATCATCAGAACATATATTATTTAAGTGTCCATCGGTTAATAAACCGGTACAAGAAATAATAAATCAAATTTTAAAAGAAGCTCAATACGATCCTGTAGTGTTAGACACTCACATATTAATTAATTAATATATATATAGATATATTTGGGTTTTTTAGCCTATAAAAGTTTTCCCATAAAAAGTAATACAATAGCTTCTTGCAAAGTGTTTCAGTACGATCCTGTAGTGTTAGACACTCACATATTAATTAATTAATATATATATATATATATTTGGGTTTTTTAGCCTATAAAGGTTTTCCCATAAAAAGTAATACGATAGCTTCTTGCAAAGTGTTTCATAAAAATTTCTTTTAAAAGAAATTTTTATTTTAATTTTTTTTAATTTTTAATTTTTTTTCAAAAATAATTCACCAAAATAAAAATTCATAAAAAAAGATCATCATTGATGAAAATATTTTGATCAAAAAGCTTATTAAAAGGGATTTTATTATTTATTATTTGTTTGTTTTTTATATTTTTTTATTTTCCTTATAAAAAAAAGTAGGTCAAATCTTTACTGAAAGATAATTAATTTTTATCTTTTTTTTTATTACTTTTCTTATTTTTTTTATTTTTATTATAATAATATTATGTTTTAATAAAACTAGAATTACACGTTACAGTAACCATATGGCCATATTGGTCATTATTCATAAATGTATTGAACATTTGGCATGTTTTTAATGTAGAAAGTTTATTGGTTGATATCAAATGTAAAGTCTGAAGAGTCTGTATCTACATTTTAATATCCAATATTTATAAATAAATTAATAAAAAATAAAAAAATTTTTTTTTTTTCTTTTTAAAAGTGAAAATGATTCTTAATGATACATAAAATCATCAATATTTTTTATTGTGTTTTTTATTGTTTTGGTATGTGTTTTATTAGATATTTAAAAAAATATCAAATTTAATTTAATTTTGGAAAAAATTTTAAAAAAATTTAAAATTTAAAATAAAAAAATTAAAATTTTTTTTTTTTTTTTTTTTTTCATTTTTCAATTTTTTTTTTTTATTAGATTTATTTATAACTAAATACTATTTTTATCTTGTATTAAAATGATAGAACCAACACCAGTATGCAAAAACTATTCATCAAAACCCATGACCAATTCAATACCCAACATTCACAACCGCAGCTGCAACCACAATAAACCAATTCTACTTTAATAGAATTAAATTAACATTTAGACTAATTGATTATTGTTATAAAGTAAACATATGTAATAACACTTTAAATTATTAATTATAATACAGGCAGATGAATATATTAATAAAATCTAGAGATATTAAGCTTTTTTTAGAGACTAATAGAGATGTATCATCAATCATTAGAATTACTATTAAAATATCGAGTAAATATCATAGAACCTTATAGTATCAATATCAATAATAATAACAATAATAACACAACACCAGCTTCAGCTTCATCATCATCATCATTCAGTTTAAACAATAGTAATAATAATAATTATACAACAACAGTATCATTAGCATTCAGTTTAAAAAATAGTTATAGTAATAGTAATAGTAATAACAATATAACAACAGTAGCACCAGAACCTACAACATTCATTTTAAAAAATAGTAATAGTAACTATAATTTAAATAGTATTGGTGAATATAACAATCTAAATCATAATAGTACCAGTTTAGCCCGAAGCGCAAGTTGTAGTAGTATAAGCAGTTGTAATAGTAATGATATCAATGGGAGTAGCAGTAGTAGCGGTTGCAACAATAAAAACAATAATAGCTTTTTAATTAATAATGGTAATATAACACTTCCACCACCACCATCATATAGAAATTTAAATAAAGAGGAATTAAAATCATCACCAATTTATATACTACTTTTAAAAACATTAAATATTGGTAATATTCAAGAGGAATATTATTTACTATATAAAAATAAAACTAAAGAATTTTAATATTTAAAATAGTAAATAATAGTTATAAATGATCAATAATAATTAAACTTTTACTGCAACAGATAATAATAAAAAATTAAATAAAAACCTTAACAATAAAAGTAATAGTTAAAAGTCAAACAGTTTTAGTAAATATATTTAAAGAAATTATATCAAAGATGAAATTTATATCCAAATAGAGACGAAACTAAAATTGAACCTTGTAACATCACCAACAAGTCTTAAATAATATATTAATAAAACATACTATCAAAAAATTAAATTTTTTATATTAGTAAATTTTAAAATTATTTTTAACAATTTTCACATAAATGGTGTCTTTTTTTATTAATTTATTATTTTTTTTATTATTAAATTAAAAATGATGTTGTTAAGTCACCTTTCTTATTATTTAAAAAAAAAATTTCTAATAATCTAATAATTTTTATTTTATTTTTTTATAATTGTTTTAAATTTATATTATATTATAATTAATTTATTTTGTTTATAAAAATATTGATTGGTCTAATTGTGCGTGGATCTTTATTACCAATTAATGGAGGGTTTTTATAATATTTACATGTTCCGATAGTTGATTTAAATTTATAAATTTTTACTGTGGTTATTTTGATGGTGAATGAACATTAAAGTTTAATGGACTTCTTGAAGTGGCGAGTTTTGATATTCCCTATTATGATCAATGTTAGTTATGAAAGCTTCGGTGTCCTTTACCTTCTCTTCCTAAAACTATTTTATTTCTATCATAGTTGCTTGGCCAGAGCAAATCATTGATATTCGTAAAATATTTGATTATATTGATTAGCTTCAATAGTGTAGACTTGAAAGTTGGTTCTAGGTTTCATCAAACCAATGTTTCTTTCATACATAATAAACATGCACCAATGTCTATAAGAGTTATTATAGAACGCTATATCAACTAACTAACATTTTTTAATTTGTAAAATCAAATTCGATATTATTGCAGCCGGTTTGAGTTTTGATTCAGCTGATTTACCAGAGTTTAAAAAATGAGGGCGAATGGACGTAGGGTTATTTTTTATTTTGTTTCTGTGACTGGGTGACTAATTACGATGCTTATTACTTATCTATGAGAAAATTTGTATAAGATGCACGATTCTACAGCTTTGTTTGATCCAGAATCTAAACTACTACTATTTGATATCAAATATTCTACATTATTACTTGATTATGGATATTCTACACTGCTTGATTTAGTAGATTTATTTGATTCAGACTCTAAACCACCATTACTTGATAAAATAAACTATTTGCGTTATGAATTAGATTCTACACTACCTGATTCATATTCTACACTAGTGGAGGTTTATAGAAACCCACACGATTTACGAAACTTCCTTATATAAATTATTCCTTAGTTCCACTTGATGAAAAATGCTCTGTATTACCACCACATAATGAAATAAACAACACAAATTTTAATGAATAGCTACAACTTGGTTCAATAGATTCTATTCTAATATTTGATGACAGGCTTTGCGTTACGACAACAAATACCAAAAATACAATAGATATTGCACAACTTGACGAAACAGGTCCCAAATTATTTGATGAGTTCGGAATATATACCACTTGATACAACTTTATCAAAAACTAAACAAAATTCTACACTACCCAATATAATAGACTCTACTACTTTGTCCAGAGGTTATGAATAGCTTGATGGAACAGATTCGGTACATCTATCTTTGATAAACAAATAATTCACTACCTGGTGTAAAAGATTCTTAAGCACTACACTTGATGCAACTTTACCACCACAGAAAAAAACCTCGGCCGATGAACCTAAACTTCTATTTAATCAGCTGGTGGAGAAGCAAAAATACGAATTTCTTCTCTCATTCCATTATTTTGAACGAAATAACAGTTGAGCCTTCTTTTAAAGCCATAAATTCGCGAGATGAGCATATGTCACTTGATATCTTTAACCTTCCATTTATAAATTATTAATTGAGCTAGATTCGAAATGAATTCCTTTTGGTATCATCTATGTTCAAAGCAAATAAAATTGATTTATTACTATTTGATTTTAATTCTTCTAAAATGTAGTTATATTTTAACCTTTTTCTAGTTTCTTCTAATTCTTTTTATAATCTAAGAATTGCCATTTATTGTTCCATTTATTTAACTTTTAAACCTGTTGCAGATAATTCATCGAAATCAATTTCTTCTTCTGAAACAACCTTTGCAGCGGCAACTAATAAGTTTGTAGCATTTGTACACTCTTTGCAGCATTTGTAAGTTTATGTTGTGATAGACTATTAATATAAGATCTACAAGCGGAAAAAAGTTGAGAGGTAGAGGCAGTGACAGCTTTAGCAGCAGAGATTAAACCTTAAGCCCAAGTTGGATATTTTCTATACATTGGACCCCATTACTAGTTCTACCATTTTCGACATGTTCTCTTTGAGCCAATGTTGCAGCACCGACCAAAGTTGATGAGCACTAGTAATTACCATAGCGGCTTCCAGCATAGCTTCAGCGACATCAAGAGCATCTCCTTCTTTCTTTGGTTCTATCTTTGACTTTGCAACCAATAAAGAATTAGCCGTATCTTCAATGGTTTTAGCAGCAGCTAATAATTCTCTTTCGGCATTATGACCAAGGTCGAAACCACTCTCTAAATATTTCTTTTCTTTTCCTGATCCTATCGGCATCGGCTTGTTGAGCTAATGCATCCAATGCATTGACACCACCTTTAAATGAAGCTAAATTATTTGCAAATCTCTTACGATCATCATCATCTTGACATTGACCACCTTGAAGACGTACACTTTCAAATAGATTTTGAGTGAGTGCACCAATTTTTCTGCATCCATAAATTTACTTTGTAATTCGGGATCTATAATTCCTGATCTACAATTAATCTTGAGGAACCTTGAGAGTCATGGAATAAATCTTTTAATGAATCTGTATTCACTTTTAGCTATTAAGACGCCGTCAACATTATTAAATTGTGGTTGTTAGCTTGATTTATTCTTTATCCTGCATATTTTGATTTAATTGAAGATAAATTACCAGCATAAGTAGCAATCTATATGAGAATAAAGCAATACCAATAAGTTGTGGTGGATCATTTGTATTGTCTTCTTTACAATAAGATCTAGGTACTTGTGAATTAAGTTGAATTAAACTTTTCTGTTAAACCATATGTTTAAGTATGGCAAGCGAAAGTTGGAGTTACTTTAAAGAATTTGTTTATTGAATCGACAACTGTTGCTTGGGCCAAAGCAAATGAATTAAGATTTATATAAATAGTTGCCCAAGATTGAAAGACTTTGAAAGAATTTGAGTTTCTGAGACTTTGTGACTTTTTATGATAGTTATTGCTATAAATGTTGAGATTATTATTATTATTATTATTATTGAGCAATAGCTCGTGGTTGGATTGGTATTTATTATTATTTGTAAATATTATAAAATCTCTTTTAATAGGTTCGCTGTGCATTTGATAAACATAAACTAAATCTTTATATTATTGATTAAAAATCTTTCATTCATGATATCGACGACAGCAGATCCTGTTGGGGTATTGAATGGTTTTTATTAATCTTCCTTTTGAATATTAATAAAAGTTAATTTAATTTATGTTAGTAATTCTGTTTCTATTTTCAATTTTTCTTCAACGATGCAAATTTCTATATGTATATGGGTTTGTTGTTGCTGTTGTTGTTTTAAAATAATGTATTAATTTACTTACTTGTTCTCGAAAGGCTTTAAACATATTTTCAGTACCATTAAAATTATTATTATTTATTGGATGTGCTATAGTTTACATTATTAAAATTATTTATGTGTTTGTTTGTTTGTTTGTTGTGATCGAAAAAAATAAAATAAAAAAATAAAATTTTAAAATAAAAAATAAAAAAAAATAAAATAAAAAAAAATAAAATAAAAAAAAAAAATAAAAAAAAAAAATAAAAATTTTTTTTTATAAAATTATTGGTTTTTAAAAATAGATATTATTTTAAAAATTAAAAATGGCTTTGCAACAAACACACACAAATAATTTTAATAATGTAAAATATAGCACATCAAACCAAAAATAATAATTTTAACATTACTGAAGTATGTTCAAAATATTAATAGAACAAGTTAGAAAATCAATACTTTATTTTAAAACAACAACAGCAACAATAAACCCACAAACATTTAGAAATTAGCATCGTTGAAGAAATATAGAAAATAGAGGCAGATCCACAAACACAAATTAAATTAACTTTTATTAATTATCAAAAGGCATATTTACCAATTAAAATCAGTACCCTTACAAGATCAGCTGTCGTCGATATCATTAATGAAAGGATTTTAATCAATAATATAAATATTTGGCCTATGTTTATCAAATGGCATCTCTCACCATTCTTTCTACTTTATAAATGCAAACTTTGAATTATACTCAGAATTACCAAGTAAACGTCATATTATAATTATAGAGTCAGTTTATGAACCACAAGTAGTTTTTAAATGTGAATTAGCAATCAACAGTTTTAGCACAAAATGAAAAAGACTACAACAAAAAACCAAATGTGATACAAAACAACAGAGATTTCAAATCAAATAAAACAAGTATTCAAATCAACTCATTTATTTACAATTTCAATTATATACAGGTTTTACAATTAAAAGATGACTTAAGGGTTTAGTTATTATTGCTTCAACATTGGCATTGATCGCTGCAGGTATTTCAAAAACGAATTTATTATATGCAGTTAGTTCAAGTTGTATCAATGGTGTTGCTGTTTTAGATTTAAATATTATTGAAGATAGTGCAGGCGATTGTTTTTATTTCAACTCATATTAACAAAAGAATCCAATTCGATATTGCAGAACAATTAAATCTACACGCATTTCTAATAATAGTATAAATTACAAAAAATATAAAACTTTTACTGCTACAGATAACTAAAATAATAAATAATCAAACAGTCACTTTAATAATAAACAAAAGTAATATTAATAAGTCACCCAGTTGTAGAAAATATATTAAAAGTAATTATATCAAAAGATGTATCCAATTATAAACGAATCTAAAATTGAACCCAATAACATCACCAACAAGTCTTAAATAATATATTAATAAAACAACAAAGTACTATGACCAAAAAATAAATAAATAAAATATTTCTATGTTATATATAATATTAAAAATATACAAATAAATAAATAATTTTTTTTTTTTATGAAATATTTTATTTTTCTTTATTATAATTATTATTTGTATTATTTTGTGGTAGTTGCTTTTTATTTTATAAAACTTTATTATTATAAAAATAAAATTATTTTTTAAAATTTTGATTATTGTTTTTAAGTGTACTCGACTTTTTCTTTTTTTTTATACTGGATGAGGTTTTAAAAATCAATACTATTTTGTATTTTAGTTTACTTTTGAATTTTCTTAAATTTCACTTTTATCCTCAATTTCATCTTCTATTGCATTTTCAATTGCATCTTCACTTTATTATTTTAAAAAATAAAAAATGCCATGGTGGCTTAGTTGTTATAACTGTTTTTATAAAAGATAATTGAATCTATAATGTTAAAATAAAAAAGTATTAATATAATGATAAATGTATATGAAAAAAAAATAAAAAAATAATAATATTACCTTATTAGAAAAGTGATGTTGATTTTTTAAATTCAGTGTAGACAACTTATAGTCATGTTGATATTTGTGTAAAATACCAATATGTGAATTTCAAATATTACAAAATTGAAATATAATCAATTAATGGAAATGGACAAATATTATTGTATGTTTCATTTTAATTATATTACTACATTTCTTCAAAACTGATGTCTTTTTTGCAACTTGCTTCATGTTATTTGATGATAAATTCTTAACAAATATGGAAAATCTTCATTTATTTTTTGGTGATTTTACCTTTTTTTCTTGCTACTTCTAAACACCATAAAATTTTGTTACAATATAAGCCATTAGGGGCTGGCAATGGTGCTTTAGAAATTAATTCTGATACCTGGATTGCTAATGGTTCGATATTTTTCCATTCATTTCTATATCGAAGCTTTGAGTCATTTGATGCTTTATTAACCATCTCAAGGTATGAGACAAATGAAGATCTGCTAGTTTCGGGCTTGTTATTTTCTCTTTTTGATTTATGAAAGCCTTCAAAAACTATTGCGGGTTGCTCTGCTTTGAGACTTCTAGACTTTGATTTAAAATAGTTCTTGAATGATGGAGAAAGTTGATCTAAATCTTCAAGAATTGCGATGATATGAACCATATGGTATAAACGACAATCATCACTTACTAAATCAAAGAGTAAAGAAATGCTTTTTTCAGTTTCTTCAACATAATCGAAATAGATTGATTCCTTGATTATTCTATCTTTATTTGAAACTATAAAATCAAGGAAATTGAATAATAGTAAAAATATTTTATCAAAGAAATCTCTGAAATCATTTGAACAAAATTCGGAAATTGATTCATTTTTGATTTGAGAGAATTTACCCAAGATAATAATGGAATCTTTAACTTCTCCCCAACAGTATTTTTCTGGAAAGGTAATTGGGTCTACAATTAATTTGAGGCTATCAGAGATGAATTTACGGTTTTCTGCGGTAGCATCTGAACTTCCCCATTCTTTGATAATCATTTTAGTTAATAAAGAGCTGGCTTTATCCTTAACACTATTTAAATATTTTACACTACCATGGCACTTGAGAGCAAGATTTAATTGGTAGTTAATAGCTGAAGCATATTGGTTGTGTCTTAAATCTGATAATAAATCTTTATTTGAGACATGGTCATCAAGGAGATCTAAGGCAGCGAGCTTCAATTTGTAATGACCCGATACTTGCAAAGCTCTGTTTACTTTCAACATTTTTGAGTTTGGTGCAAGTAAAAATATTTCATTTGGATCAGCTTTATATTCGATTTCCATTTCATCAGTTTCGGTGTTTGCAGAAAAGTTGATTGGAACATCGCATTGGATTATTTTTTTTTGGGTTTATTTAATTTTTTTTTTTGGGTTTATTTAATTTTTTTTTTTGGGTTTATTTAAATGTATTTTTTTTTTTTTTTTTTTTATTATCTATTTTTTTTTTTTTTTTTTTGATTATTTTTATTCACAAAGAAATGTGCCAATAAAAACTAATATCTATTTAATGGAAATCTTTTTTTTTTTTTTCTT